CTTTATTAATAACCCACTTAAACTGTCACACTGATTTGCAATGTTTTTTTGCAGTTTAATTGTTTGTTTTTATTTAAGTTTTTTTATATATAAAAATGTGCGATGACTGGACTTTTAGGGGTGGAGATTTGAGTTACCGGATCCAAGCAAACAGTTTTCTGAACGCACCCTGTCAAAATCAGAGAGTTCCTGCATCCTGTTCCGACAGGATCTGGCTCAAATTAAACCGTGGTTTTAACTGATCAGAGCAAACAAACAGTAAACTTGTGCAACCAGAAGTTACAACATATATCTAAAAAAAACAAAGCACAACTAGCTTTAAGCATTAACCTTTAATTTAACCAGTAATTGTACGATGTAATTCTGACAGAAAATGGAGGATTTTCCTGCAGTTACCTTCATACAGATGAACATGCGGTACTTCCTGTTTATCTCTTGTATTCAGCTGATCTTGAGGACAGCTGCAGGGCTTTATCTTTCCACACTCGGTTTAGGTTTTTGAAATTGAATAATCTGTTTTCCACTCTCTAAACACTCAGAGTAACATGTGTCTGAATTACATGTTCTCCACTGGCAACGTTTAAACATTTTATTCAGATGAATTTTCATGAAATCCCTCTGACTGCTAAGTGTTCATAATGCAAAACCCCGACAATGTTGTCGGAGGCAAAGGAGGTGCAGCTCCTGCAGGTAAGGGGCGTTTCACTTCGAGACAAACTGTGATCGCTGATTGGTCAGTTGCTGACGAGCTTATTGGATTGATTGACAGGCGGCGTCATGTCAGTGGGCTGAGTCGTAGACTTTGTGTGTCTTGAGGTTGCTCATGTGTGGCAGCCATTTTAAATGTGAATGACTCCAGCAGTCGAGCTGTTGTTGTGCATCCAGGTTTCCAGCGGATCATAAAATCTTATTTTTACATTTGAATAGTTCTCTTTTGATTAATTCATGGAAACAAAACATTTTCCCCAGAAGTTTGATGAAGTGGAGACACAGTTGAATTACTCAACAGCCTCAGCTTTCACTTCCTTTATTGTCACGATGCGCTCATCACGTTTGAAACCACATCAAACCTCACAGGAGTCCCTCAGCAGCTTGTCCACCCCACCCTGACGCCACACCCCCTCTAGCCCCTCCAGCCAGCTGCAGTGAGTCATCGCCCACTGAGGACAATTACAGCAGCGGCACTCTTCACTCAGGTGTGTTTACTGAGTGCAGGGTTTACCTGCGTCTGTCTGTAGATGAAGCGTTAGGATGAAGTGTCAGATTCACCACACAGACACACGCAGCCTCCTCTCATTTACCCTGCAACACCACATGGACTGCTTTAATGCACGGAGCGCCCTCTGCAGGCAGCTCTCTGTCACTGCACCTCGGAACAGACGAGTTCAGTGTGGGCTTTGGTTTGTGATGATCAGAAGAAAATAATACTCACTCCTTTACTTGAAGAGTTATTGCACATGGCAGGCTCATACTTCAGCTTTACTTTATCCAGGTTAGTCAAATGAGAAGTGTTTATTTACAGCAACAACCTGGCCAAGAGGCAACAACAGGGCTAGAAAAAACATCACATAAATATGCACATTTAAACCAAACTCATAAAACCATAGAGATTACACTCACACAAGTTATAAAGAGTGCAACACAGTATTTCTTGTCCATAAAACAGGATCACGAAGTAGATTAAAAGCTCAAGAACTAGTGATGGTTTAGAATCACTGAAGGTGGATAACGGAACTGGAGTGCAGAGTTTTAGTCTGTATTGCAGCTCGTGTCGGTCATTTGGAGCAGCTGACTGAAATGAGAACGATCAAAGGTACTGCGAGCTTTTGGGACAAACAAGGAGATGAACATATTGGAACGCAGATTAGTTTTTGTTGGAGGTATTAAGAATGGAACAAAGGTATGAAGGAGTGTTGCAAATTAACCTTATGTAAATGAACTGCTGTAACAACCTGTGGGAATGGAAATCAGTTAATTTGTGAATACAAAGCACCGTGGTGAGAGGTAAAGACCTGTGGTGAAGCTGATCACACTGAGATAAACATCGTTTGAGGTTTTTTTTTAGGCAGACCTATAAATGAGGTCACCATAATCTAAAATGGGGAGAATGATCATTTTAACCATTTTGTGCTTTGCAGAATGAGTGACAGATGATTCATTACGATACAGAAACCAGTTCTTGAGTTAACTCTGTAGACTTTTGTTTATATGAATGTCAGCGGGGAGTGAACTGTCCAACCAGATACTTGTAGAAACTGACTACCGTACTTGCCGCCATACACATCACACCGCCATATAAGTCGCATCAGTCCAAATATGTCTAATAAAGTGAAAAAAAACACAAATATGTTGCTTCGCCGTGTAAGTCGCATTTATTATGAGTCACCGCTGATGCGTCGCGTTTGTTACACGTCACCGTTGACCACCTGGAAATGTGGACCAATGTTGTGCCAAAAAATCAATTGGCTGCCAAATGGCGACCGCGGGAATATGCACGGTAGGACTTTAACAAGAATTTAACAAGATTAGTACTTAAAAAACAATTATTTGTTTGCTCAAAATTATAGTAAAGGTGTGTCTCAGTTGAACTTTTCCTTAATAAATGCACTTTGACGGTCAAATCAGCTGCATTTTGTCTGGGCAGCGCGGCGAAATGCAGCTGATTTGACGTTTGCTCCTGGAGTTCCAGAGCAAGACGAAGGTGGCTTTGTATGGCAAGCCAAGTGTCTCATTAATAGCCACTTTTGCCTATTAATGAGACACTTGGCTTGCCATGTTAGTTGAGGGCCCTCTAGTGGCTGAAAATGGTAGCGTTCAATATTTTCCATGTCAGAATGAATGAAATCGTTAGATCTCAGCCAAAAATTGGGTTAATATGGGGGAAAAAAACATAAACATGTCGCTTTGCTGTAGAAGTCACAGGCATACTAATTTATGCAACAACAAAAAAACTGTGACTTATACAGCAAAATTTACGGTGGTTGCAGTGCTGCACCATCCAGGCTGATGGTGATGGAATGTTGAAAGTAAGTTTGTGGTTGAAAATCATGAATTTAGATTTGTCCGTATTTAGGGAAAGGTACAAGTCGCAAAGCGTATGGAAAACTGTTGAAACTGTGCTGTAAGAAATGGGCTTGAAGAAGTTTTGCCTCGCTCTTCTTTCCAACCCAACAAATTTAAGTGGGGTCCTCTGGATGGTTTCCATTTGTTGAAAACCTTTGTCTTTCATCCAAGAGACTTCATCAGTCCTAGGAGCCACAACAAACAGCTATTTATAAAACAGAGTTTGTTGTAGCTCCTCAGACTGATGAAGTCTTTTGGATGAAAGACAAAACATTTCAACAAAGAAGAATCCAGAGGTCCTGACTTAACTTTGTTGGATTTTTCTTCCTGGATTATTGAGCATGAATCAGGATATCTTCTTTCCAACGTTGCTTCAGTTCTTTAAAGTTTCTGCTCAGTTTTCTGAAAGTCCACCACCGCATTTCAGTCAGGTTGAGGTTTTGGAATCTGACTGGATCATTGCAATACCTTCGTTCTTTCTTTTTGACCTGTTCTGTTGTAGATTAGCTGCAGTGTTTGGGATCATTGTCCTGTTGGACTCAGTTTGGTCCAATCTGTCGGACAGATAGTCTTATATTTGACTCTAGAACCCTTTGGTCTACAGAGGAGTTCATGGTGGACTCCATATCCCAAATGTTCATTCCTTCACCTTTGTGCTGACAGTGGTGTGAGGTGTTGTACATGGTCCAACAGCTTCACATTGTCCTCATCCATTGGCATCAGAAGCATTTGTAATGTGGGGGGACACATTGTTGGGGGGGTGTCCTCCCCCAGAAAATTTTGAATAAAGTAGATGTAATTTCCTAATGCTGGTGTATTTTAACGGGTTGTTAAACATCTACGTTTACCTACATAAGTAAACACTTGATCAATAACTATTTTAGAGAGCATGGTACAATGCTCTACCCCCTCATCTCCTGGTCGACAACTGCCTGTGCTAACATACCGCTAAGCCAGCGGCGCGCAATACAGACACACTAGCTAAGATGCTACAGACGTAGCGCTCCGGTTCTCTCATGCATCCTAACCCCCCATTCTGGTCAACAACTGCCGGCGCTACCATGATAACAGGATCTACAGAAAACGCTGCGTGTGGTGTGGTGAGTTGTAGGTAGCCAGGAAAACCCGGAGTGGATTTTTAGGGGTTTGAGTATTCTATGAACCAAGTGGAATGGATTAGTTCTCAAAGAAATAGAAACAGAGCTGAGTGAACTAATATGTCATGGTAAATGTGTGTGTGTGTGTGTGTGGGGGGGGGGGGGGTCCAAACAAATGTTTTAAATTTGAGGGGACATGTCCCCTTCACAAATAATTGTTGCAATGTCCTCATCTGTCCAAAGGACATTGTGTGAGACGTTCTGTTTTCTGTTGAGGCAGAGGAGAGCGTCTGTCCTGCAAGTCTTTCAAACAAACACAGGTTCTGTTCTATTCACAGAACAAACAAAACATGTTTTCAAAAGTGGAAGAAAACAAATCACTTGTATGAGATGCTGAAATCTGAATACTGGGTGTGGTGGGAGAACAGGAGCGACCTAGTTCTTCCACAGGTTTATTATAAAGTGTTTTCTTCCTCGTACTTTATACTCCAAGTCTAAAGTGATGCACAAAATATAAAATGTAAAACCTCTAGTAATAAAATAAAACAAAACGATTCAGAGTGCTGAACATTTGCACATTTTTTCAGACATGAAGCATATTTTCTTAATGACCTGTATTAAAATATTAAGATCTTTACAGTAAAAAGTTTTTTATTGTCCACAAATGTAATTTTGAGGCATAGTGTTTCCTAAAGTTTAGAACTCAGCAGCTGATTTAAAGTTTCTATCAAATCACAAGTTTTCAAATTTAAGAGTGTGTCGTTGTTGGATTAGATGATCAAACTGCAGCAGGGTTCCTGTAGGTGTGCTGATGGTTTTTGATGGTTCTCTTCTCTCCAGGAGACGCAGGACCCCTCAGCTGTGTTGTGGCTGGACGAGATCCAGGATGCCATTTTAAGGGCCAACCAGAATACAAAGGACGCCTTACAGTGTAAGAAAGCACTCATCTTCCCTGGCTCAGTGTCTGCTTCTGTCAGGAAACTGAGGTGGACTGAAGGCTGCTGTTTGTGTTTGCATGTGCAGTCTCTCAGTCCATCCAGGCCATCAACGAGGCGGTGGACGGTGAAGATGCAGCTCAGACTCTGGCTGCTCTGCGTAATCCTGGAGCAGGACTTTATGGCATCACCTCGGAGTGTGCGCAGACCTACCAGGGCGACCTGGCCAAAGTTAAAGAGGAGAAGAAGAAAGAAGGTGAGAAGTCTGACACCAAAAGGAGGCTTTTATCTGAGCAGAAACAAGAACTAGTCGAGGAGAATAAATCCAAAAGCAAAACATGTTTAGCTTCAACAGCAAAACATTTCTTGGCTCTTCAAGCAGAAACAGACACAGCTGTATCCACACCTGCACAGGTGAAGGCCGTTGTAACAGTTGAGCACCACCCATAAACTCATCTTCCACTCTGAAGAGAATGTCCTGGGATCCTTAAATGACAAATAAACCTCTCTGCACCCTCTGTTCTTAGCTCATGGGTCAATGATTATTCTGACAAATCTGCTCTAATCTCCAGATTAAACTTTGTGTTTTTGCTTTATTACTGCTGCTTGGTTCCTCCAGGTTCTTCTCTTTTGTCTGTAACATAAAACTACTGTGCAGAAGATATTTTGGTTCTTCGAGGATTCTCGGAAAATCCCTTTAAAACACAGTAGGTGGAGGGTGGGGAGGTGTCTGTGGATGGTGCTTGGTCTTAACTGTTACCACTGCCTGCACCGTTTCCCATGACCTCCTACTAGACTGATTAGCTTCTATTAGCATCACTGCTCATCTCTCCAGCTGCACTATGTACATTCAGATCAGAACATGCTTTACCCAGTTACCACCGGTGTTCCTCACAGCTCTGTCCCTGGCCCACATTTGTTTTTTTTTATTTTTTTGCTTTCTGTTGGGAACATCACCAGTTCATTAAATTGTATTGCTATGTAGAAGACACCCAACTCAACATTTCTTCTGAGCCCCCTTACACCTTCTTTCAGCTCAAATTGTTTGTGTGGAATCAAATCTGGGTTCATCTTAAATCTCCTGAAACCGAGGTTCTCCTTGTCAACGCTTTTCAATTCTGGCAGCTGCTACTTGCATATTATGGTATAGCCTCTGTACATCCGTAAATATTCTTGTCCAGGCCATAACTTCTGAGTCGCTCACCCAAATCAAGGTTATATGATCTTCTTGTCTGAGCTATTGCTATAGATCCGGGCTATTCAACTAAATTGCTCAGGGGGCCACAGTTATTGAAATCCAAGAGCTCAAGGGCCGGACATTGCAGTTATTATCATTAAGTAAGTTTTTTATGACTTAAATCTAGTTTTATTTGAAAATGAACCCATTGGTGGACCGGACTGAGCTCACCTCTGGGCCTGATTTGGCCCTTGGGCCGCCAGTTGAATAGCCTGCTGTAGTGAGTCACGTGGGTACGTGTCACTTGTTGTAGTATGACAATATATCCCCGTTTATATGCATACTATATTCACGAGTTCTTCATCTTTCTGACTGTGTAATGCCGTGCATTGAATTTAACAGAAATGCGAACGAGAGACGTTATTACCTTTGACCCATCAAATGAATGGAGTCATTTATTTTCAGAATCAAAGTTTAACATCAAACATTTACATTAATTTGGCAAAATATGAAAATAATAACAGACAGTTTCACAGAAAATGAACTTCAAATCACTCGGCGGTGATTTGAGGACTTTGCTTCAGATATTTCTAAAATATCTGTACTGATTTATGAGAGAGAGGTGAGTTTAAGATGAAACGGAGATTTATCTTACAGAGGAATATGTGAGGGAATTTAATCTGTTTGACCAGAAATTGCACGCTCCCATCAGGTATCTCAGCTTGTCCCAGGTACACTTTAGTCGAAGAAGAAACCGTTACCTTGTTGACGATAGATCACCTCAGTAAGAATCCTTCAGACTGATATCAGCGTCTCCGTTGAGAACAGCTAAAATCCTTGGAGAGTCGTGCGTGGTTAGTTCAAACAGAATCATAATCCCAAAACGTCTCTGGATTCTCGGCAACTCTGACTCTTCATTGTCAGCAGCTCTCAGACTCTTTCAGATCTTCTCAGACTCCAACTCCAAAACTCTCCATAACTCTAGTTCTCTGGAATCTCTTGGAACCGACTGCACTCTCTGAATTCCCATGAATTCTCTTCAGAACTCCTTGAGA